AAGAAAATTCCAGGTGTTTTCTACATAAATATTTCCATATTTTCCACAATAAAGTTGACGTTTGAGAACATGTTATTGTTTTATGATGGCCAATAAACCATTGGAGAAGAAAATTTCATATCCTTATAAGGAACTCCTCTAGGTAACTACGTGTAGGGCCTACATGTACGCATACGTGTACTAGGCGTCCCATTGAAGCTGGAATTGTTCAAGAAAATCTCCACGTCGCATATCCGACAGGGTTAGCCTACTTCCATTATTATAGGACTCCGTAACTTGTCTTTGTAAGACAATGGATCAAGCTTTGATGAATATTAACTTACTATAGCAGGTCTAGGTGCGTAGATGTTCAAATATAAGCAGTCCTCGCTGTACTGGGTCACATAATTGGTCTGTGGGCAGGCATCCCTGAAGTACGTGGCGTTGTATGTACCGTTCCACGAGCCTTTCGCCTGCGGGGGCTGGAAGCGCAGCGGTCCCACGGGCGGCTCGGCGAACGGCACCCCCTTGAACACATCAATGGTCTTGTTGACGCCGATGAACTGGGACTCCTGGAAACTCTCAGACATGCCCACCACAACTCCTTGCTCGACTGTGACCGTGGGCTGGGTGGCGGCCAGCACCACAAATGCGAAGAGCGTTAGGAAAATGGAACATATGAACGATTTGGAATCCATAACAAATCTAAAATGTTCCACCGATTGTGTCTACCATACAAAATAGAGACCATACTCACAGGCCTTGAAGAGCAGGTACTCGACAACGTTGTAAAAAGCTACTCATGCGTGAACCAAGTACTGAACAGTTGCACGCAATCATAAAACGGGTGTGTACGTATACTGTACGGTATGCGGTGCATGGTTGAGTTTACATAAGTAAAGGTGATTAAATACAGCCCCTCGTTTGATAGTCGCTGTACCCAACCGGTCAGTCCATGATAAGGCTCTCGGATCCCCTGAGGATCAACAACGGTTTCCGGTGAAAGGTGGTGTTTATTGGAACTGTAATCATCCACAATTTACGTGCAAATCAAAAATGTCTCCATGCCACTTCAGAATGAAAATTGAGCGCAATTTTTACATCTAAAAAATTAAACCCTACAAAACAGTTAGTGGAGGTGCATAAGCCTTTTTCGCGTTTCATGCGCATGATACACAGAAGATTGAAAAGAAGGGAACAAAATTCATGATAACAACGTCGCGTAACGTTTGGCGATTGGATGCTCGCGTTAATAATTATTGTAGACGATTTTGTCCCCCTTTAGCTTTGTCCACTTACTCGGGCGGGGGCCGTAAACTCAACATGGTGAAGGAACGGGAAATTGGCTTAGATAAAGTTCACCCGCACCACAGCAACGACGACAGTCTCGACGTCTTCGGTAACCATTCTTTCCACAGGACCATCAAGTTCAATTGGGAATATTCCCTTCTTCGGCTGCATAGTCTTGACTTCAGCATCCGAAAAAAACTGTAAATGTTTTTGAGTGGCAAAAATGACAGAACATCCTCCATTTTTGCCTTAATGATAATGCTTCTTATAAAGTCAGCATATATTGTTATTTGTGTCTGATTGGTTGTAGTGATTATGAATAAAGTACTTAATTTGTATCGCTCGTTTAATGGCGACAGTCTCCTTGCATAATCGTACTTAGTCAATAATTCTATCCATGGCATTTTAAGTGTACCTCTGTCGATTGATAACTGACAGCATTAATTATCATTATTTTCAAAACACTTCCAGCGATTACCATAACTGAAGTTAAAGACTCCGAACAAAAACAGTCATGCACTACCAAAACAACAATTTCATCCTCTCTGAATTCTGGATTTACAGGGAAAGCTTCAAACTATAAGGCTTGCTCATTTTTAGCATCGGCCAGTGCGTGCTAGGATGCTGGCGTTAACAAGCGCTAGGGAGCTATTAAGTTCCACTTGACCGTCGAAAAAAAATGCTCCCGGGATAGGACCAGGATTATTGCTTACCACCTTGCTTATTGAATATAATTGGCACTAAGTAACGGCAACTGGAATAATGAACGGTCGGGTAAAATAAATTTTATACGAAGTGCTTTGTTTATGGCCCACAGACGGGTCCCGGGACAGCTAGTCTGGGGACATCGCGGGTAGGGGTGGATTAATCCCTATTGCGGCGCTATTAGTAAAGCCCACGATAACTCCAACACAAGTTTTAAATGCACAAACCTTAAAAATGCGTTTTTCTCTCTCAGTTATGCTCAATTGTCAAATCAAGGATGTTCACTGCCTATTAATTTCTATTCTAATAAATATTCATCATTCGTTGCTCATACACAGACAGTGGTGCTGTCCCAGTAAGAACACAGAGAAAGGACAAGGTTTGTGCGCAAAAACGCCTCTGATTGTTTGTGGATTTTCCTGGACTCATTCTTCTCTTCTTTGGCGATTTTGTGTTGCTTAATTAAGAGCACCGTTTTCCATGCCTTTAATTGAGCTTCATATGTGTTGTTTTTCTTATTAAGTCTTTATGTGGGGATTTTGTGGACGCCGGTCTTATAATCCCATTATTATTAATTTTTGAACATAAATTTTGTTCTAAATTTTTGAAGTTCCTACTTGGACCCTCTGCACCCTCAAACCATTAAATCTGAAAACGGAAAAGGTAGTGAACTTTGACCCTACTGCAGTTCTCTTTCAGCAACTATAACCGGGAAATGACCTGGTAGTAAAAAACATCCGCCTCGCTGCTCAGAGTTATTTTAGGAATGTGGCTACTTCCACAACAGCATAATCAGATTACGAAATCAGTTAGAACAGACCCGAGGGGTGTTTTAGCTACCATAAAACAGTCGAAAAGGTTCAGGCATGACCGGGAACTGACCTGGAGACATAAATTACCACATGAAGCAACGGTGTTAGTTTGTGGGCGTGGCTGCCCCGAAGGGTTACACGCAACATAAAATAGCCTTTGGCTTTACTATATAGGATTAGAGGCCCAACAGCCTTCAGAAGGTCGTTTATGGGTCACAAGCAGGGCCTAGGAAAGCCAGGCAGCCGTTGGTGTGTACAATCCTTGATGTCTGCCATCTGGAAGATGTTTGTAACATTCCTATGGGAATTGGCCAGACTCCGGCTGGAGTTTTTTCCCGGTTGAGGGAATGCTCCCGCGTCTACAGTGACTAAACCATGTTGTTTGGCATTTCTACTTTTACCAATCGATAAACAACCGACGTACACAACTGACATCGTCAGTGACTCTACGCAGTTAACTAAACAAGGATATTTTTTATCTTGATGAAGAGCATCGCGCGAAACTGACGATTGGTGGCGCTGTTTGCATTATGGCGGCGTTCAGTTGTTTGTGTGCTCATGCAGATGCGATGCTGAATTGATGATAGGTCCCAGGCCTTAAAACATTGTTGAGATCTTCAATTTTTTTATGCTTGCGTGAGTATTGTATCATTTACTTTCATTGTTTGTGTTTTATAGCTTCAGACATACATTTTTTTTCAGTATTCCACCAGATATGCTGTACATGTAGCCGGGTCCAACAGTAAAACCATAGAGCTATTTATAGCTCCATGGTAAAACGTGCAAGCCGATCTAATACAAGTGGGTCGGCCATGTCATAGCTCAAACAGACATCGAAACATACGAAATCCATCTAAACTGAGCAAGGAATAGATAAAATGCATAAATATGGTGTTTTACATGTATGCATCTGCTAAAAGGTTCGGACCTGTGTATTGTAATTTTTGTCTTTTTCTTGCAAATAATAAAATTTTTGCAAATAATGATTTTTGGGAGTGATGTCATCAGGTGAGGACATGCAGGCAGTGGACACAAATCTACAACTTCTATTCTCATGGCCTTAGGGCTTAGTTAGATAAAGAAAAGCTCATGTGCCCCAAAATGGCATCTGCCTAAACTATTTTTGGATGGTGCTACTGTTTAGGTCGGCTCAGCTGTAGCATAACACATTGTGGGCATGCATCACATATCTGTTGCTAGTTTATAGCTCTGCACACTCAACCTTTCACTAAGGTTGGTTTGCTGTTTTATTGTTGAGTAAAAAGGGCAACTGTACCTGTTGATTTGGTGAGAATTGTGTCTGGAGAGTACATTTTTGGAGGAGAAATACTCAAAATTCTAGAAATATAAATAGAGAAATAGAAACATACATGTAGAAGTAGAAACATTGGGTTGGATGTGAAATTCACGAGTGGAAGTGATGTAAATCTAAAACTTAATTCTAAATTGCCTAGAATGGGCCTGTCAATCATGTAGTAATCTTAAGGCCACCTGGCTCATTTTTGTTTCCTCAGCTGGGGAGCTCCTTGAGTGGGGTACCTGTGGCATCATGGAGACCATACAGCAGAGGAGTCACGCCCTGAAGGAGCTACTGCTGAAGGCATGGAGGGAGCGCTGGTCAGACGTCCAGTGGAGCACCCAGATGAAGCAGATCCTGCCGCCAGGGGTGTCCGGTGACGCCTACAAACTCACAGGTCAGCGGTCTGGACTGTAGTTGACCGTGCCGAATAAAAAACCACAAAACAGTTTCTCATCCAGGTTTGGTGAACTTGGAACTTGGTTCGCTTTTTCCACTTGTTTCCAACTGAATATGCAGTAACAACTGTAAGTTTAAAACCTTCGACTTTAATTCAGCCCTTTACTCTACCAGAATCAACAGAGGTGCATTCTTTTGCACTGGTATCTCTGAGGAGCAGGAAACATGAAGCAGTAGTCGAGTTATAGAATGATTTGGTTTTCACGTGCCCACTTGCAAGAATGTAGATATTGGAGGGATTCTGGGAGGTTCCCTGCTGAGGGGGAACTTGTAAACTTTCAATGAATGTTTCAAGTTGAGAATGAAAACTTTGTTGTCTTTTCTTTCCCTCTCCAGATATTATCTTGACGCAAGCTTTTGTTGGGCCTAACCCAAACAGCCTGATGCTGTCCTATCTGAAGCATATCATCGTGTCTCAGGTAAGAAATGTTTCATCCATCCAAAGCCTTCACCATATTTGATAGCCTTTCAGTGCTCGTTTAGTGTTGTGTAGGTAAGTAATATCAGTGAGATGTTCAGTTGACAAGTCGACTGATATTATCAGGGCTGATACCCCACCAAAACAACCCAACAAAACATAATTTTGCCTTTGTGTGTTACTGTCCTTACAACACGGATGTATCCCTGACTAGTATATTCTTGCCCTGTCTTATCCACAGGTCGTTTCACATACTGCAGTGCTGTCCACCATCGTCGAATACGACACGGTGTGCATCACCAGGCCTTACTGCATGAGGAGCCTTCTGGAGATTCTATCTGGTTGCATCAACAGAATCAGGTACATGTGCCAAGAAGAGAAAGTACTTGTGAAGTACTCGACCTCAACACTGACGGTGTGCGCGTCTTTTTTTTGCCCAGCTGCCAGGGTTCTGTGGGGGAATTCCCGACTCTGCCAGTCCTGCTAATGCTGTTTCATGCTAAGCTCTTGTGGAGTACTCGTAAGTACTCGACTTCAACACTAACAGCCTACATGTACATGCCTTATTTTGCCCAGCTGCCAGGGCTCCATTGAGGAGTGCCTGACTCTCTGCCAGTCCTTCCTCCGTGTCATCCTCCACTGGCTGTTTCATTAAATTCTCATGGAGTATTTGTGAAGTACTTGATGTCAACACTAACCCTGTACATGTCTTTTTGCCCAGCTGCCAGGGTTCTATGGAGGAGTGCCTGACTCTCTGCCAGTCCTTCCTCCGCGTGATCCTCTGGCTCCTCCACTCTGTCTCCCTGATGCTGGACAAGATGCCTGACCTGCGGGACCTGCAGGTCATGGCCTCCAACTTGGACATCGTCAGTGAGATCCTGCGCATCATCTGCACGGGCCGGGTCAACCGGCTGCTGCTCTTCATCGCCAAACTGGAGGACAAAGGTGAGCATCTGAGGGCTCTGAAATTTCCTTGATTCCACAGTGAATGAACCACAACTCCCCGCAGGACATGTAAACACAATCTGACTATCTGTGCACGCAGCTGTGGCTGGGTCAAAGCATCATGCGTCCCTCAACTCACCCTCTGCTGATTTGTAAACACTCTAAAAGCCCATTCCGTTTGTACACATATGAACACAAAGTCTGAAAAAGTCTGTGGAGGCAAGAAGACTGTGTGTTGAACTTGAAGTTGACCTTTGCGTGCAGCCTAGTGTGGCGGCGAATATCACTTCATAGGTACATCTAAAGTGTTAAAGAAACATTAGTTGCGGAAAGTAATAGCGTACAAACACTGCTTGAACTGACCTTTGCGTGTTTGTGCCTTTTGGATGTCTATCAGAAGGTGGCTACTATATCTTGCGTTTTTTTAATAGTCCAATTTTTGGCCAATGGTACATGTAATTCTCTGAGAAAGTGGTTAAGACTGTCAGCAAGTGATTAAGTATTTGTGGCATTTGGGTGCGTATGAAAAGGTGGAAATATAGAATATAAAATAGCTATAAATACTGTCAACAAGTGGTCAGGACTGGCTTGAACCAAGTAAATTGGAAGTTGCAGCATCATGGGAAATATCCATAGTGCATATTTGAAGAAGTTGTACCCATCAGTTGAGTAATGAGTTAAATCACAGAAGCCTTGTTATGTCAAACTCACATTCTTTTGGTACCAGTTCATTATGCCCTTGCCTTAACTTCCTTAACCCTCCTTTAGTTTTACAGCACAAATATGCACAAGTGCCCAAGGTCACTCTCTTGCACGTTGGTGCAGTGCACAATGCGACAAAGCTATGCTTCTTTGAGGTGTTTACCAAGGAGGGTTAAGGTCAAAAGTCTGAGCCTTAAGCTTGAATTGGGTGCATGTGATAATTCAAACATCTCCTAAAATTAGGCTAAGCAAACAATGTTATCATGATTTGACATCTCATTTTTCAGAATTGGCTATGATATTTGAAAACTGTAAAGTCAGGGCTCGAAATTAGCAGGCGCAAATGGCTGAAAAGTGCCTGTCTATCTCATGAATATGCCCCTAAATTATAAAGAAAGGCACAAGTACTAACGCCCATTCATTTCTATTCTGTCCGTGAAAAATACCTGAACTTTTTAACTTTAGATCACCCTTGTCATGAAACCACAACGTATAGTACAATTTTTTACGATGTTACTGAGCGCTACTGTGGCAGGCTCACACACGCGGCCAGGACCAACGGTATTGGAGCTCTGTAATGCACTCGACTGACTCTACTGTACATTGTACATGTACTTGCATACAGTGATATGTACGTGTATCTGCTGTGTGACCGGCCAGTTTGAAGCACAAGCCTTGAGTATAAACAGCATTCTTGGGATCATTTGGTCATTGTGTCGTGATTGGCTGCCAATGAAACATCAGTATTCACACATGTGTCAGTTAAACTCATTACACCTGTTCCTGTGTGGGCGGAAGTTGTGACTAACAATCGCCACTATAACTCGCGGTAACACACATTTCACTGTGAATTTACGGCTTGACATTAAGGTTAGTACATTTTCGCTTTCGCCAATAGAGGGTTTTGTTACAACTGGTGCAGGGCACTCAAAGTTACGGTATCATGCATCATCGCACAGATATTTTGTACGAGCTTCAAATAAATTTTGGACATTAACTTGTCGATATGTCAATGGAACACAAATGTATATTCATCCAAAGAGACTCTGACCTGGATACAATCTTTGACAAGACCAATCCTTAAGTTACAAATCCGCGGAAAAAAACAGTGAATGAAATACACTGTTGACCATCAAAAATACTTTTTAATTTAACAAAAAAATTCCCTACCCTGAAATTTTTGGCCCAAAAACTTTAGAAGAAAAAAGATACTACCCACCTACCCAACCTATTTTTTTCAATGTAATCATGGTTATAGAAAGCAAAACTGTTATTTTGTTTGGCCTTAAGTTGTTTAATTTTCTAGAACATGTATGGTGTATGGAAGCTACTCTCTCCTGTAAACTGACAAATTCAGCTGTATAGGGAGCAAGTTCTTGCTCCCGTGATGGTTAGCCCAATTCGAGCCCTGAAAGTGTAACCAAAATTTTACAAATCTTTTTTATGAATGAGTCAGGTTCTGAAAAGAACTTATGGACTCCATGTTTGGGACACTGCTCTGTCTTACCTCTGAAGACACGTACATGTACAGTATGCTCTGTCCGTTAGAAGATGGACAAAGTCCTTTTACGATGGACAAAGTATGTTGTCAGAAATGTTGAGTCCATCTGTTCTGTAGAGGCTTTGCACGGTAGCCATCCTGCAGGGCATTTCTTTGGTTGCACAGGGAGACCTTGCAGGGAAGAACTGGCCTGCAAGATGGCAGCCATGCAAACTCTCTATTCCAATCCGTACTTTAATGTGAGATTCCCAATTTGACAATTTGACATGGTGTGACGTCCTCAAACCTTGGTCACATCACCGCGTCCACCATGCAGACCTTTGAATCATCAAATTTAAAAGTCAAGGTGTATTAAAAGCCATGTCTTTGGGAATTATGGATGACGTGTAGTACTTGTTCTTCCTGTTGTTTTTGTTTGTTAGCCACATGGACAGATATCGAGGACGCAGTGTCAGGTATCAGGAGCATGTTGAGTGCAATCCAGACGCAGACTTCCCAAGGCCAGCAGAGCAGAGGTATTACAAGGAAAAGAAGGAAACAAATGAAGAAAGAAAAATGGAAAGGAGTCAAGGAGATAAAAATCACTAATTTGGTTGAAAATACCTCGGAATTGATTCACGTTCCTAGTTTGACGCACGTTGTTTGATGATGTCTGTGATCAGAAATGTTAAATTCAGGAATGAGAAGGATTGTGTTAAAACCTTCCTATTGTTTAAAGCCCAGACATGCACCAATGTCTACAGTCACTCTTGTGCATGTGTTTTCTATATGAAACACAACATGATATGCACAGGTTCAATCCCCTCTTAGCATGCTGCCACCATAGGCATGCAGAGCCTTGACCTGGCAGCTTTACATAATCAACATAGCCGGTTCAGTGATTCCCGTGCATTGCTTATGTAATTATGCGCGTGCTGGGTAAGTTCTTATACCATGCGAATGGACAAAATGATTCTGACGTGATTGTGCAAGTTGCCAGTTCAAAGCTCTGCATGCCTGTGGCAGCAGCGTGCAAAGAGCGAATGAATATACAGTTGGTTGACGGCGCACAATGACACAGGCTCTTTTGTGCAGTCCTCTCCAGTGCAGTTGGTTTATTGCACAATCATGCACATGAAACAGTGAGGCACAGTTGTTGGACAGCACAAAAGTGTAATCTGATATTCCTGTGAGGGATAGTTGGTGCAGTGCACAACACAACACAGCTGTGCATTGTTATGCAGCTTACCAACTGACCCAAAAAGTGACTTCAGGATAGGAGGGTTTAATATCAAATGTCCCTAAGTTATACCTGTGGGAGACATTCCCACAGACATACATGTCTGTACAAACTTTTGTGCCCTTTAAGTCTAAACTGGCAAAACCTGACCCACCAAACTTTTGAAAGCTGTTTATATGACCCTATAAACTATCAAACTGTCCAACACAAATGGAAAAACGTGACTCCTTTTGGAACCACTAATTTTACTGAAACCCTTAAATATCTCCTCAATGTGTAATATGTACATTATAAGCTTTCAAGTCTCTCAAAAGGCACACTTGGTAATATACAGCTTTATATGTACATATATATTGCCAAAATGAAGCCAGATTCCTCAAAGTGACATACGACAAACTGTCATTTTAAATGAATCAGTGTAATTGCCGTTCCATTATAACCTAACTTGAGAAATTTAGAACAAACAGATTTTATGGGAAGTTGATAATTGGTTGTTTGGGCAGGTGGTAGTTCTCAATTGGATCAGCTGCTGAATACACCCAGGACCATGCACGCTTCCCAGGGTGCTAACAAGAAGGACAAAGGCGACCGCACCACAGAGTCCCTGAGAGAGCGGCTGGAAAGGAGTCTTAGAGAAGTCCTGAGGTGAATATTTTGTTGATCACTTCATGCCGGGGCATTTTTCAATGTTGATGATGCTGGGCCGGCATGACTATCATTTTTTCTGTTTTCAAAATCCTTCAAAAATTCATCATTTCATTTAACGGTGGTTTATAGCCGCACAAAGTAATCTTTAGGCATTACTCTAAGTTGACAGGTGACCTTCATTGACGCCCGAGTATTTCAGCCAAGCCTGCAGCTTTGTAAAAAGAGCCCAGATTGTGCGGTGTTTTGTAACTTTCTTTTGTTCACGAACCTGGCTTGGTGCACTGCTGACCTCTTTTCAATTGGGGCCAGATTAGTGTGCAGCGGTGCTGTGTGGCTCATCGCTGCAGTGGTGGAGCGCTTTTGTCCCCGGTGGTAATCCGCTCGCTCTCATTGCCCCAAAGTCTGATATACGGTTTCAAAACAAGGCTGGATTATCACCACTTTTGAGAGTGAAAAATGTTGGTAATGCCCAGCAGCCTGGTCTTTTGTTTGGAGTATGGTCTTTTGTTAGAGGGCCCTGTTTCCTTTGTGCGAGTTCGGAGACCCTGGCCATGCATATAAACCATACCTCTCCGATTCCGGAGTCCCCGGCAGGAAGTGGTTAAGGACGATTTTTTTCGCCACCTGTGATAAACTCTATCTTTATTAGCAGTTCTTTGGAATTCACCTTTGGGTCCAAGCAGAAAATGTTGCTTGTTGATATTAAGCATTAGTTGCTTAAGCTGCGCTTACTGCTTAACAGCCTTTATGAAATACTCAGAGGCTCTGTAAGCACAAATTTGGCTGTTGAACTGAGTGCTGAAATTGGGCCCTGGTCTTGTCACCGTCTCCCCAGGCTGGCCCGGATGGAGAGCAGCCCCAGCCCTTGCAGTAACAGCTTGGAGCTTAAGGCTATGAGCAGCTGCATAGGGGTCATGACCTTCATGGAGGCTGCCCTCAATGTGACGGGTGACCTCCAGCCGTTTGTTGACCAGCTGCTGCTAGTGGAGCAGCTACAGGTGAGACTTAAATGGAATTTTAATCTTCTTAAATTCTTGATGAAATCATTGATGAAAAAAATATATCAGGCGACATTGTACAACAATGAATGATTAACTCTTACTACATGCATACTATTTCTCTGGGTTTCAGGTTACATGGTCTTCAAGAGATTTCCACGATAGTTTTTTTAATTTAAGGCTCTCGCTTACTATAAAGTATACATGTCATACAAAGTTCAGTTGAGCTAGTCTTTCTCAGGAATTGTTATTTAAACTTTACTGTCAAATTAAAGTGTGGCGTGATCTTGGTTTGCTATTTCAAGTGTGAACATGGTCTGCCAGTCTGCACAATTTCATTTTAAGACTTTTAGTTTGTACTTTAATTGCAGTATCCCGTTTCAGAAAACTGTGATTGTAATCCACGTTAGGTTTGGAATTTGTACCTCTGATTGTGACGTTGAGAAACACATTTAATTTTGTGAGGGATGCAATGGAGTTGATTGCTTGCATTGCATTTTCTTGTCGCTAGAACCTCGCCAGAACGAGCGTGTATCTGGAGCTGTGCCACGCCAGCCTCTTGGGCCTGATCGACCTGCCGGATTCCTCCGAAGAGCTCAAGTGGCTGGCATTCACTTTCATTAAGGTATGACAGGTGCTCCACATTCGTGAATCCACATCACAGAATTCTGTGCTCACTGAATTCTTTCCTGTAGTCACGGTAACACTTTGTAGCGGTCTGTTTCTTTATGCAAGCATAGAGACTTGAAATAAATGTCTGCATTTAACCCTTTTCCTCGTAAATTACTCACATGGAATTTATTGTTGGCACCTGGGGTTACACTTTTGTTCCAAGATATGACAGTTTAAAGGTCAAAGATGTTAATACTTCAGAAACTTCACCCTCTCAACTTTGAGTGGGCCAGTGGCACTGACAGGCACTCTGTGACTAACTGATACACATGTATCAGCTGTTTTTTGCAGTGTGTCACACATTTGCACATGCCACGGATTGACTCCCTCTTTCATTCCTGTCTTCAATAGTTGCCTCAAATCCTTGCCCGCCTGAAGCAGACCCCCTCACCCAGAGACTCCACAGACAATGCCTTGCACTTCATGAGCTGCTTTGAGCAGCTGCTGCGGTTCAATGTGCTGATCGACCAGGCCGACACCAAACACAAGTAGGTCGGCTCTTGCGCAAAGTCCAGAACCTTTGTTGCATGCTCTAAAGCCGGGTAGAGACACGGGTCATATTCTCCCTGGGCCTGTTGATGCGTAGAATACCCACCGTGTCAATTTGAAACATTTATATATTTCGTGTAATGCTTGAAGGAAAGTGTGCAATGGTAAAGACATTTGTGTTTTTCTCATGTTGTCTTGTACAGCTGTGATTGCATGCAGCAGTTGCTACAGCAGTGCAGCAAGCTGGGACTGATCACGGAAAACCAGCTCCGAGAACTACTCGCAGCAAGGTAAATATTTGACTATTGCCCACAACCATGGAACCTATATAACATATTTCAGATTGCCAATAAGCGACAACTGCCTGGCTACATGATGCTATGCAGTTCATATCCTGTACAATCATCTGTTTCCTGCTCATGATACACTGACATTTCAGGTCTAAAAATTCGTCTGCTAAGCCACAGTGTGTCTTTTCTCCAACCCACATGCTGAGTAATTCCCAACTTTAATGGCTTAATGAGTCAACATATTTGAAATTTGTACCTCTGCAGTACTGCTTGTCTTGTTTGTCAGGACTTGTTTCAGTCTATTTTACCCACTACTTTCTGAACAAAATTTGTACGATTGTGAATGCAGATCGGCGACGCGCCGGGCACCTGTGCAGAGTCGAGGCAGCAGCCATGGATCCCATGATTCACCCCAACAGTTGCCCAACGCCACTCTGGTCATCAGGGCAGAGCTCACCTCAACAAGCATACTCAAGGTGAGCCCAAAATCACCCGTATATAATGCACCTTACCCACACATTGTTGCCTGGTTTGGACTTGTAACTTTGGCATCCGTGCGAAGTCACCATACCTCGTACACACTCATGAACCAAACACTGCTCTATTTATCATCACACGGCATTGGCTACTTTCTGCGTGAAGATCCACATCTAAGTCATAGGTGCTAGTAGTGAACGGTTTCTCAGGAACTATTGCAGAGAATGTTTCCCAGGAATTATTGCACGGAACTATTGCAGAGATGGAGTACACGCACGTGAGCATAGCCCTAGCTACGTTACAAGTACACAACGTAAGAACAGACGGTGGCGCATGTACAAGGCTGCCTTTCCTTTGCGCCTGAAATGTTAATGGCAATGTCAGAAGTATGGTAGAACAAATATAAAATGGTTTATTTCATGTGTCTCCCTCAGGAACTAGTTTGTAAACTTCCAATACCAAGGGAACTATAACATCGACTATCCACCTTCAAACCCTGTTATGAATATTCATGTACTGTTACAAATTCCCTGTGTTATTTCACTATGTTATCAATAGACTACTGCATTAGAGCCACTTTGACACTGATGTTACAGGAGTACTTTGCAGATGAGTGCTCTTACGTTTAATATTGGCTGGAATAACCCATGAACCGATGGGAGATGCAGAAAGCCACTAGCTGGCTCACTCCATAGATTCATGCGTTACTTCAGCCACAACCATGTAATTTGGACATGGCTAAGGCTTTCACTTCCCTGGGACTCTGATCCATCCTCACACAAACACACACAGAATATGGACATGGACTATTCCAAGAATCCCGACGAGCTGCTGGGGGTGCTGGGTCACATGATGTCCGGCAAGAGCTTTGAGCTGATTATCGCTGCGCTGGCCACCACGGGGAAACTGAAGAAGTTCACCGCCAAACTCATCAAGTAAGCCCTGATGGAACCGTCTGGGCATGATTCAAGTTCCCCGTACACATATGGCAAATTAAATTTGTCAACCATTTCCAAAAATGTGCTTCAACAAATGGTCTTTCTGTTGCAACCTTTTGATGTTAAATTAATACGAAAGCACTGTATAATAGTTGCATATGCTGTACTTGCACATTGCAGTTAAAGAACATCATTGAGAATTTGTTTCGTTGTGGTCTGTAAATATTTGCATGAATTAAAAATGTCTGCACCAAGGAGACGTCAAAACGTCTCCGTGCTTAGAATGACTAGTTAGCGCTTTATTAACTTAATATAGCTCCATGGAATTTTTGCAACTCTTGTACCTTTAGTTATTTCACTGGCTGTATTCAGAAATAGCACATTCTGTGGTTTGGATTTCTGCTCAGGTTCAATGAACAAGCGTGCAAGCAGACCCAGGCCGAGGTCAGCAAGGGGTCACAGGTCAGGGCTGCACTCTTTGACATCTCCTTCCTTATGCTGTGTCACATCGCTCAACTCTACGGCACTGAGGTACGTCACGAATAATCAACACTTGACAGATGTACTCATACTGAATTTTTCTACATGCATTGCAAATTGGAGAAAAATGGGGGGATAGCTGTGAATCGGGGGGGGGGTTGACTCTCTCCTTGGCATTGAGGTGTCTGAAAAACATTGCTCTTTTTTCTGCCTTGAACAGAAGCACCCCCTCATTGATTGAAAGGAGCCATGCTGGTGGGGAATGTTAATTTTGTTGATAGTGATGAGACTGTGATTTCAGAGTTATTTTATGAACCAATGAAGTGCAGTTCCCACCAAAGGAGGCACTGTTACATAAAAAATTGCGCCCTCTCGTGGTTCCTTACGGGGTCATGGGGTTAACGAAAAGCCACTTATCTGAGATATGTTTCTTTCATGGTTTATTTTCCCAAGATGGTAACGTCCAATGGTGGTGATTCATTCTTTGAGTCTTGGGTCCAGCAGTGTCTGCCTGACGATAACGGTGCCAAGCCCCTGGGCTCCTTTCCAGCTGTCGAACCGTCCAAGGGAGATGTACTTCTCAGCCAGTACCACTCAGGAATGGACATCAAGACTATGTGAGGAGACAGTGACAGTTAACTATGACCATTATTGATGTTTTGGTCACAGTTGTTCTCAATCTGGACCTTTGCATGTTCAAGTCTATAGCGAGTCTACACTGGCAAGCCTTGCCCACTAGAGTGTTTTTACAGAATAGCTAAATAGTAATGGTGCTAAAGATTGTTTATTTGCAAGTTTAATTTCATTTATTTCTTCTTGAAATTTTGGTAAGTCTGTGTAAATAATATACATGTAGTATAACAATGATCCAATTTATGAGGGCTGTCTTGCTGACACATACATTAATTGACATGTACAGACATACATGTAGGTTCAATTGTGGAGGTTAATATTTATTTGACTTTGTAAACTGGAAACAAATTAGTTTGATGTACCTGCCTCATATAAATGTTTTTCAAACTTGCAGTCTTGACATAAGACTAGTCTATAGAAAGCTTTGGAATCACATTGAGTACTATATTGATTTAAGTAAGCGACATTCTAAAAAAACAGTGTAGTAGTTTTTATTTAAGGCTTTTCTTGTTTACTGCCTGCAGGCAAGCCCGTTGGAATGAAGTTATTGACACCATGCCCTACATCATGCAGGAGGTTCTGTTTGCATGGGAGAATGGAGCTACAAATGTGGAGCAGATACAAGTAAGTTATGGCTGAGTGCTGTTGCTACCTTATTTTTAACATTCTGAAATGGGAAGGAGCCTGACTATATTGTTATAGGTTTAGGTATAGCATTGCTTTTATTTTTGGTTGGAAAATAAAGGTCTCTTGACATTTTTCTCAGCAATTTGGAATTACCCTCCAGGGCAAGGAAGGTAATCTGCAATCTATTCCATTATCTTCATTCCCACACACATTAACCTTTGCAGAAATTTAAACAGGTATTGCCTTGTTTAAATTCAAGATGGCCGGCATTAGAATAAGGCTGGTTCATGGATCTGTGTAGGCTGCATTTGAAACTGTTGTCTAGAGCTACATGTACCGGGTAAGTGTAGGTCTGAGCCCGTTGAAAATACACAGGGACACACTGACAATAGCTGTAGCACTTAAAGCCCGTTTTGGACACAGCCCTCGCAGGAATTATCACTTAGCATAGATTAGCAGGGAACCAGTCATCAGGGGCTGGGGGAATGATACATAGCGTGAAGTTCTGGCCGGTGACCCATTTCTGCTAAGCAGATATTTGTCATTTTAAGCAGCAATATGCCCATTTTTTTGGGTCGGTAGAAGCTGATTGACAACATCACTAGCAAGCTCTGCTGCCTGCCAGTCTGCTGTGCGGCCTGGCTGTGCAGCCACATTGCGGTGCTGGCCTCCACCGAGCGCAGCAGACCTCTCCGCCTTCTACAGATCGTCTGCACCCACCAGGCGCCCAGCCAGTTGGGCGTACCCTTGCAGATCTATGACAATGAGAGGTACAAGCCTTAAATCATATTTCATCAGTGTCTATAAAAAATGTAGATGTTTGTAAAATACATGCAATCGTATGATGCAGGGTAAAATAGCATCCAATGCGATATCGGTTGAACATAACAAGATGCCACAATCATTGACCTTTACAAAGTTGGACTTCACCAGTGCTGACCCACGATGGTCCGTCGTTCAAGATTTGTGTGAAATGTCTGACTTTGTTGCTTTTTAAACCTCTGCAACAATGTCACAGAGTGATATTCACTCGCCATAGTGTAGATCCTTTGAGGATTCCATACATGCTTAACCTCCACAGACTAGTTCAAATCTCTATGTGTGTGCACAGACACAGCGGGTGTCACTCAGGCGTGAAGACGAAGATAGACATCACGTCACCCAGCACCGCACTCATGATTCCCGGAACGCGTTTAAATGTCTTGCTTGCTACAACACAGAAAATTGCTGCATGTTTGCACATCATCACGGCATGAAGTGGTCAATAGGTTTTGGTTGTTTGTGATAAGCTGTAAAAAAAAACAACTTGCATCCAAAATAATTTAATAACAATTTAATAATTTGTTCATTTATAAAGTGCAAATTCTATACAGATATGTTCAAATGCACTGTAATGATGAAGACGTTGTTGAGCCAATAGCGTACAAGGGCACCTAAGGCAGCCGCCAAATGACCCACATCCACCTACAACTATAGAGAGTTTTAGAGGTGAGAGAAAAACCCCAGAGAAGAAATTTCTGGGTAAATTCAATCAGGTAGGGACTGAAAACCCAATCCACATGTGGACCGAGCTGGGAATCGAACCCGGGCTGCAGATGTGAAAGGCGAGGAAAGAACTTCTTCACCAACCCGACTCCCCAAACATCTATAGAATATATCGCATTACAAGATTCATGTTTCTTTGTACAGAAACTCCATGATGCAGATCATCATCCGTAAGATGTGCAGCAGCAGCCCCATCACTTCCCAGCTGGCCAAGGCCGGCCGCGATGCTACCCCTTCCATGCCCCCGGCCATCCCTGCCACCCAGGTACTGTCCTCCGTCTTTGCCCAGGTCATGGAGCAGGGCTGCGTGGATAGGCGAACGCTGGCCCTGGCCGACCAGCTGATCGCCTGTGGAGGGGTGCTGTGGTTCTGCCGTGGGGTGGTGCTAGAGATCTGCTCCTTGCACTGCAAAAATGAGCTTACTATGGCTGGTAAGGCTCTCATACATAAAAATTTGGCAATACTTAATGAGCTCTATGAACAACAGACGGTATGTACTGTGATACTACTTGGTTAATAAAACTATTTCTGAATTTAGATTGTCTAACCTTCTTTCTAACCTGTCCTTTTTATTCTCTCCACTGATGGAATCCAAGCAGGGTTGTTGCAACATGCACAAGCGCTTTAAGTATTTGAAAAGAAACCATTCACTGCAGTAAATATCAAAACACCAATATGTGGTTATCCAGAGATCTGATCCCCAAAACTGGTACCCTGTACACAAAACACAGTGATACGATGATGTCTGATATTATGCCATCTTAAATATCATCAAAGCTATCCTAAAGAAAGCTTCAAAATGCCCATAGTTTAACTAAACTAAATGAACTCCTCAAAGAACTATTAATAATAATTTAACAAAATCATACCATTTCTGTAGAGCCGGGGGAAAATTAATTTACTGTCTGAATTCTACAGCAGTGAAGAAATGTTGCCATGTCTGACTCGTAACCCAAAACGGAAGTGACTAAATGGGGCTGCTCTATTCAAATCAAGAATTTATAAATTCATTTTGGCAGTCAATGTTTCAGGTGGCTTGGTTGGATTTTAAAAAGCAACATTACAACGCTTATGGGGTTTTAAGGATCTGGAAGGTGTAGAATATAAGGATAGGAGCAAATTGAATTTGCTCGTAGCTTATTTTTCTGAACATTTTACTCTGCTAAATTTTGGGTGGCTAATAATTCCGAAGATTTCAGTATGTGGAGATATTTTTTCTTTGTTTGTTCCTGTAGTTGAGGTGGCTTTTGCCCTATTCCAAGTGGACATTGAGCAGTTAACCCTGACCTTGACCAGGAAGGTCCTGCCGCGAATCCTGGCTGATCCATTGAACTTTGAGAAGCTGAGCAACCCGCGAGGCCACGCTCTGGCCAGGCTCACAGTGTGGTGTATCGCGGCAACACTGACCAACCACACCAGCTCAAGAGGTATCCAACAGATGATAGATTGTTTAAATATGGGTTTCATTTATTTTTAATAGCCAGTGACCTTTGAACTTGTGGAAGTGAAAAACTGTTGTTTCTTCTCGTGGTAGCTGCGCAGAATATTGTAGCCAGTGTAGTCGTGGGTTTTGTGTTGTATACAACTCTTTTTTGAGTATTGATACGGTGTAGATGGATCCCACAACATTGTTGACATTCTTGATTGCCCCCTTCAATGGTGGAAAGTATCTTGTCAGGTTTTGTTGAGAACTGTAATGCAGTGCTCACTGCGTACAGTGCCTTTCGCCAAAGAAGGGAGCCATCAGGGTTGTCCATCAATTGCATAACCATGGCCATCGAATCTGTCTATGAACTCTATATTTGTTGAAAACCTGACTCAGTTTTTGATGGAACTTAGCGAGGTGGATATTGATGAAACAGAGATGATAGGGTGGCTCTTGCTGCATGGGTGAACCTGTGCCTTTTGAGTAGGTGTACTAGTGAAACCCTCTGTCTGTATACTAATAAACTAATTCTTGGTTTAATTTTTTTCATAGATTCTAAGTGTAAGGAGAGCCCTTTCCGCCTTCTGAGAGGGCGCAAGAGATCTCGGATGGACTTGGACAGGGAGGTAAGTATGATTTGTACATCTGACTTTTAATACAAGAGCCCAGGAAGACCACACGATAGTACTGAGGAGTGGTGACAGTATACTTGTATGGAGTACGCACAACTGACTGAATGTACACAGGAACCCATAGTAACGTGCACTAGAGGAGTACACTTGAACTGGGGTGGGATAGTGACAAACATACTGCAGTGCGTACACAGAGGATGCTGTCAAATAGCACAGTGTGTGCCTTGCGACTTTTCAACTGAATCTGCACAAAAACCTGTAGTGTGTTGGCTTTAGAGGAGTGCATCTGTGACAGAGTGCTCTACTGTGTGTGAAGAGGTCACTTTCGAACTGCTGCCAATTTCCAACTGAATCTGTACTGTATATTTGTAGTTTATTGGTATGAGAGGAGTGTACCTGATCATGATGCAGTTTTGATAAGAGACAATGTACATTTTGCAACATTAACCCTCACTGTCCTTAATCCTCGGATTTTACATACCCTAGGGGGTTATTGTTAAATTGAATTGCCGGGGCAAAGGCATCAATGCAACCAAAAAGAAACTAAAACAACTGCTTTTTGGACTTTATTTTTGAATTTGTAACATGTACATCATGTCAAAGACCAGAAAGCACATTTATGAAAAGAGCTCTCGTTTTGGTATTTAGAACGGTTGTTCTAGTTCCTGCTAGGTCTTTGAAAAAGTAGAGAAATCTGTAAAGTGTGTTACAAAAGGGATTTTAGAAGTACAGGTATAATGTTTTACAAATCCGCTACAGGACTCCAGTGTTTTGAAAGATGAGACACGACCGTCTAAGATCAGGCGATTGCTGAGTGTTGGGGACGAAGACAATGCAACAACCACACTGACAGGTCAGTCAGTAGTGCGCACCCATCGGCAGTGGAGTGGTCCATTGGGTTTCGTACACCAGAGGGGCACATGTCAACCAAGGCAAAACCAAGGGTGCCATCACCCTGGCATGTGTAAAGAGTGCCATGGACCACTCCAGTCTTGATTAGCTAATTTTTGGCGAAGCAAAGGTCAGCCAACAAGCAGTTGAGAGTAATGCGCAATACAGAATGTTTTGGCATGTAACTCATTAAGCAAATTATGCTCTGTGTTAACAAATTGGTTCCCTTGGGAGCTCCTTGAATTGGGTCCTTGCAGTAAATAGGATTGAACGCTTCACACTTTGATATTTGCTAGTATGCTTCAAGTGTTAAATGGTACATGTACAGTTGTGCATGAGATTATGAGGAGGTTAGTGTGAGTTGTGAAGTGATGAATTTTTAAAGGCATTGTAGAAATGGAGAAAAAATCCCAGAATTACCGAAGTCGTCCTAGCTAGTTGTTTCAACTTTTTGCTGGACATTGTTGAAGTTTCCCACCTTTGTTGAACACTGTGCAAACAAACATCATTTATGATTAACAAAACTGTGACAGCATACCTCGTGTAGTAATTGTGATTACAATGTAAGGGTGTAAGGGAAAAAAAAACTTTTTTATGCCACTGACCCTGTCTGGAATTTCCTTCTAAGGTTTCAGAAACATTGGAAGAAATGAAAAGCGTAAGAATTTCTGGGAACAAGCAAATAATGAATGAACCATAGTTGCAGGCCTTATGCTAATTTTTTTTCCTGCCTAGCCCACTGGGCTAGTTAACTGGATATTTTACTAGCCTCTTTAGAGTTTTACTAGCCCGTATATAAAACGATTTTGAAAACCCAAAATTTGTTATCAGCTTACCAATAAAGAATTTGACAATTTGCAAATAAAAGGTTGATGGTATAAATCAATAAAGAGGCATGTATGTTAGTTAAAAGTCGCTTGAGTCACTGGTCACAGAGTTGGGATCAAAATCATCTTTTTTTTACTCAGTCTTTCCTCTCATTTGGGTTGCTTACGTTTGGCAAAAATTGCCACTTTTGCTTACTTTCTGACCTCCACGGTGACCGAGTTTGATATCGGCAGACTTTAGGGTAGTTTGGGTCAGTATTTCCCAGAGTTTAGAGCATTGCATTTTGTTCCTTACAGGCTCCGTCAGTTACAGCACTGGATTTCTTGTTGCCCAGACCCAGCAGCAGTTGAACGAACCGTTCCCCAAGGCACTTGGTGAGAAAACATAGGCACCAAGATCTGCTACCATTGAGATTAGTTGAGGCTGTCTTTCCAACTTTGTTTCTGCTGTAAAAGTGACTACCTGTTTGAATACTAGTAGATTTTGAGGACACCCTGATTGAAATCATTCCAAATTGGCTCAATTTTATAGTGACAGATACACTTTGCATATTTGCATCAAGAGTTGACGAGTTGCAGGTTTTCAACTGAAAGTGGCTCACATCAGTCATTCATCCACTTGCGGCAGCCTATGGCACCTCATGCCAAATGCTACATCCAATATACTTTGACAGCTTTCATTTGTTTTTATTTGATCAGTGTCCCTGTTCCAGCTGCTGTCATCCCTGATGTCCAGCAGCATGATTGGACCAAGGACTGAGTTTGTGGTTTCCGTCATCACTGAGATCATTCACTGCAGCGAGCACATCGCCTCAGGAGTGCTGCAGTTTGCTCCAATCACGATGGTGCGTCACTTGGTGTTGGATGGTTTGAATAACAATAATGCCATATTTTGCCTGTACCCACTGCACTCTCGGAGGATGCTAGTGACCAATAATTTGTTTCAGGTTTTGTGGATAATTTTGTTTGCTTGATGAGTTTGGGCCAAAACTCTTCCGATATAAAATTAAATGCACACTGTCCTATTTTTTTAAAGAGATTTTTACATGTTGGGTATTAAAGTTTTACTGAGTGCCAGAAATCTGTGGCAAACACAGCTTTAACATGTTTGATGGGACCAACTTCCGTTGTCAAGGGTAACAAAATGCTATGAGCCTAATGCAACGTTTCACCACTTGTGTGCTGTCCAGCTCTTTTCATGAGAATTCCTAGTACATGCATTTGTATTCTGATGGACCCTGATGTTTTCATGTTGCAGATGTCTCAGATGCTGAACACATCCAGTGGACAGTTTCTATTGGACCTAGCCCTAGCCGTTGGCAGGGTGGACAGTATCGTAGCCAGACGGCTTGCTGCTAAGGCACTGTGCTACAACAGGATTGGCCGCTTCTGAATGTGTGTCACTGGGGCTTGGGCTTCCAGAGCTGTCTAGGCCTCTGTGACTGTACCAGGGTGCTACATGTTCAAAATAACTTCTCTAATGCTATGGAATTATGGGCGTTTTTTAAACTGTTGTCAATTTTTTTCTTTTGACATTAACATGCTCTCGTGGTTGTCAGTTTGCAGATGTCCGTGTGAATGTGTGTGCGACCTACAGAAGTAACAGAAGCCAGAATGTTTGGAGAGAGTGAAGTGCCAAGTACTTCATGTACTTCATATAGTCCAGGTTTCATCTATTTGTGGGGGCCCTGGCCAATGGAACACCTTGAATGGATTTCGGTTTTCTTACACTTCTTCTGTATATCTCGGTTCTTTGTAACCTTGTTTTTTACGTTCATGTAGTAGGCATCAAAATGGATTAACTCCAAATTGAGTCCCCCTCTCTCTATCCATACATTGTATTAGGGCAGTGACCCAGCTGGAGAGCAGATGTTGTATTTCAAAGGATTATGCACTCTAAAAGCTACATTACAGTCAAATGATATTTAATGTCAACTTTTCCACTGATTTGTTTTCCGGTGAATAAATATTAAATTGATATACCTCAAAGCACCTTTCAAATCCTGTCTTTTCTTGGTGTAAGAACTTCAAACTTAACTTACATTGAGTGATAGAATTTTTGTTTTGTTGGAATGTTTAGACCACATTGGGGACTTTGGTATATCCCCACAAAATCTACTGTACAACACGTGGTCCCCATTTGTACTGGTACATGTACACGCAGGGAACAAGAATGTGCCCTCCTGCGACCATGTTGGGAAAGATTTCCTTTGGTGGCCAAAAGTGAGGGGACTTTGACACAGGTATGTCATGTATGTCCCCACAATGTGTTAAGGTTCTCACGACAACTGCCATGCATCATGAGTTGTCCCTAAATGTTTGAAACAAGAATGTGCCCTCAAATTGCGAGAACTGTGGCACATGTATGGCCTCACGTTTTATGTCCTCAAAATGAGTGCTACACGTACAGTATGTAAAACTGGAAAAGACTGTACATTATGCATAATGTAAATGTATGTATGCAAATGTACATATACACTGGATGCTCACAGTACCGTAGCTGATGCATTGTACTTAACCAAATTGCAAGCAGAACTCAAGTCATCCAGTCTGAAATGACAAGCTACATGTACATGTATTTAAAAGAAGTACAACATGTACATATCACCCTGTTTGGACCGCTTTCAAACACTTTTTGCCCTAAGTGGGAAATGAAGCTAGACTTAAAAACATAACGGCATCCTGCTTGTTTACATACATGTATGTTTGCCTATTGGAGCTTGATGGATCACATCCTACATGTAACTCACTATCACAGCAGTTGGAAAGTGCACATGTATACAAAGCGTAACATCATTGCGCTACTTCTCTATTGAAGTGTGACTAGCAAGTGACTAGATTCTGCTTGATGGAAATTTGCCGAAACAAAAGTCCATTCTTCTTAACTTTTTACTACTGGGACATCTTGTCTTCACTTTGGTAATAATAAAAACAACCTTTTGCTGTAATACATGTACTTAATACCTTTGGTGTCAAAGGCCTGTCTGTACAAATTATGGAACTAAAACAAGAGCCTAACAAAGAATATTGGCATGGTACTGGTATTATAAAGTGAAGCACGAACAAAATGCTCTTCAGCATAAAGATGCTTGCCTGCACTTCCATCTGTGATATGCTACAAACATTGAACTTTCTCTGTTTAAGTTATGAAAGAAACATAAGGTGTTAACACATAAAATAAAAAAGTCCAAGCAGATAAAATTAACGCTTATTTACATTTAGTAACATAAATCTTGACATACCGTCGAACTAACCTGTAAAGATTTTTTTCCATAGTTTCCCACGCCATCTGCAGTGCTTCTGATTTGCAAATGAAATATTCTTGGCTTGCTCTACGAATAACTTAAGTCAAATAACTGTTTGCTTTTTAAGTCTAAAGGTACAATATAGAATGGAAAATTCTGAAAATCATTTAGTGTCTTACCAAAAAAAAGCTTCAAAACACCTTATAGTGCAACAACAGTAATACTGACTTTTGGTAATTAATGAGCATTTTAAAACTCTGACTGGTTTACAACATTTACGGGAAGTATCACTTTTTCAGTGTGGGAACACAGAAATTGGAACAGCCTGTGAATCACAGACTTCTCTATGATGACCAGGCTGTGCTGAATGCACTAGCGCAGACATTTTGGGCTTACCAAGTGAAATCCAGAATCGCTGCTTACAGGATGTGTGCATGTGCACGAGCCCATCCCTGCTAACCCTTTGAAACGGGCTTACCGTCAGTGTGAAGTTTTGCTTCGTTTGTGTATCACACAATGCCGTGGTGCCAGAAAAATTATGATGTGATTCTGAAGAGTCTGGTGCAGTCACAACATGCATGACAAATCCTCATCCCTTGCTGGCTGTGTGGACAAGCACACTTACAACACGTTGGTAACTGTTGCAAGGGCTGTAGGTTTGCTCTTGACCTACAGGAAAGGCACGGTACAGAAACATGTATTTCTATCCATGAACAGCACAACATCAGCTTTCACATAAAATACATGTCTTGATAGTATCAAAAAAGCTGATAAGTTGCTTTTATGACTTATCAGTAACATTTGAATAAAGTAATAGGTCTCTCTCAACTGACGTCACTTGCCACAGATTGCCACGTGCATCTGCAGGTTGGACTTCAAAATTTTATGACGCACAATGGCTGTGCCTTTCTACAAAGGATTTGGATTAACATGCACGCAGTATAAAACATCACACAGCGCACACACCTGATCGCATTGTATATGCAGTTGTAATCTGACTACGAAGATGGCGTCCAGTGAGAGCTATCTGTAGCAGCTAAAAAAAGCTACAAATAGTTCTGTTCTCTTACAAGAGTACTCCTTGGTTTAGAGAATTTTTGAGGAAAGCTTGCTTTGTAACAACAGGGAGTGTCCTCAATTTGAACTTGTGCTGGTCTCATAAAACATTTCAAGGGTTTCAAGACTTGCAATGATGCCTTTCAAAATGGTTTTTTTAGCCACTGCCCTGTTCCCAACTTCTGAAGAACTTTGTTCATTCAAAATACTTATATTACAATACCAGTTTGGTGTCCGGTTTGCCTACATGAAAAATCTTACATGTCTCGGGGCTGTTTCAGTTTGTGACGACACTCACCTTTTTAGTTTTGGTTTTTTTCTTGGTCGGGGAATGATCACGTCGCAATTTACTGTGGAAAAGACAAGCACAAAGTCAGCATTTTGGTAAAAACACTGTCTTTCAACAAATTTCACTTCACCGTGTATGCCTTGTGGATGAACAAAATTGTGATAATCTTTCTATTTAAAACCTACTGACATGAAATATGGTAAAGTGTAAACCAAGGACGGGGCTTGCGGTAACACCATGTGGACAGATCTCTTTAGAAGAGATGTGGTTCAGAGTGAGTGTGCACTCAACGTTTTGATATACATGTACATGTACCAGCGCTCCAATGATGTCCGACACTCGACTCCTGAGGATGACCAGAGCACACTGGTCAAAATGCCGAGTACACACACACACCGGTTCTTATCAGAACCCACACCTCTTCTAAAAACGATCTATCCACACGGTGTTACCGCAAACCTTTTCCCTAGTCTGTTCTCTATCATGCAAAGCTTCAAATTGTATGGAAAAGTGTGTACAGTATTTCACAGACGATCTCAACAACCAGAATCCATCAATCAGACTGACAGAGACCTCTCAATTTGTTTTGGTACGAAAGTACTTTGTCAAAATATGTGGTATACCCAGTGGATGTTGTGGGAACAGCCCTATCACTTTGTTTACTGCATTGTGTGATGGGTTAGAATGAGGGTCATTGTATAGCGTAAGATAAGTAGTCCACGTATGGTACGAGTTACATTTGATCACAACCATGTGAAAGGCACAGTCTTTACTGTTTCTGGTCGTGAGGGATAATTTCTGTGAAAGATCCAAAATGATGGTTACACAACACAACTGCCTTTTGGAGATGGAGAAAATGGTATTCGTAGGCAAAAGATGGTAGTGTACAAATGTACATACAATGATGACCCCCATTCTATCACCAATTCATTGTGGTAAACACTAGTTGCATCATCAGTCCATAGGACTACCGAGCAGTTTCCTGAGAGCAAAGCTGAAATAATTAGGTTACTGATTATCAACTGTTGCTTTCTTTAATTACTGTGACCAATGGATCTGTTATAACAGATACATGGGTATTTTCTTACTCTCTCAATGATGGCTCCTTGTAGCTGATGGGCACAGCTCTCCGACTCCGCCTACCCGTCTCCTGTGCCTCGCTCTCCTCCTCTCCTCTCTCTGATGCCAGCTGCACTCCCACTAGGGCATCTGCTGTTCTCTTCCTGCCCTGCTGGGCTTGATGGGGGTGACTGTTGTTGGTGACAGTCTGAGAGTTTGTCTCCATGGCGACAACTGAAGGACCACGTTCGCTATCCGAACCCACTTTTGACGGTGCGATGGGCTCAGCAACTGTTGAAGGGGAGGGGCTCCTTAAATGGGGCGAAGCTGACTTCTTGCTGGGAGGAGTTTTTTGTAAGCCGTGGGGGGCACTGATGTCAAACAGGAACTCATTGGCTTCTCTGTGGTTTGCCTGTACTGGGTCGGTCTGTTCAAAAGTGACAGATGGCTTAGCTTTGTTCGTGGAAGTCTTACCCCGATGCAGTGTAGAGTATTTGCCAACATTATCTAGCATGGTAGATGCTGTGTCTGCACGGTCAATGATACCCTCCGTCTGGGGAACATGTAAAGCCTTGGCCTTGACTCTCTTAGTTGGGTGGTGTTTGGTAGGTTGAGCAGAAGCCACTGATAGGATGGCGTCATCAACATCTTCTGCAGGCTTCCAACTGGGAGCCAGCTTAGCCTTGCCAGTTTGTCGGGATGGCTCTCCAAGGCAGATGCCATCAAAGATGTCACTGGCTTTGCTTTCAGACTTGACAGCGGCAAGGTTCAGCTCTGTCTTCCAGTTGGATGTTGCAGCCATCTTACTGATTGTGGGAGACACCACTGATTTGGCCTTCTTGCTTTTGCGCTTGATCTTGCCCCCTCTCTCCGAATTCACAGCCTCTGTTGGTTTTGTGGGCTCTGCCTGCTTAATATGTTTATTGTATGCAAGGTGTGATTCCTCTCTCTGGGGCATGGGGTTTAGAAGTTCCTCTTGGTGCACGGGTTCTAGAGCCTTGCCTGGCACAACTAGATCAGCAGGAGGCCCTTGTTTGCCATCATGGGGGCTGTGCACTTCTGTTGGTTTCTGCAAGTATAAAAAGTAATCGTGAACAGGATGAAACAAATCACTACTCAGCAAATGTGTACAAGGCTGCAGTTCAAATGATACACAATAATGTGAATTTTCATCTGTGCAGCGATAAATTTCCCAGAGAAGAAAATGTTGCTTTCAATGGAAGCTAAATGGCAAATTTTTTCCTCAAAAACATTTTGACCTGAATTCAACCGAGTGATAAAATGTACAGGGAAAGAACTAAAGTTTGTACATGTAAGCACCTCTTTCTTTAAGCAAGGAGCACCATCTTGGTCATTGTTTGTCTTGGAGAACTCAGCCAGGGAACTGGTGGGTTTTGGTTTGACTCGTTTAAGAACTGGTGGAGCTAAGGAGAAGCTGTCGCCCGCTGAGAGATCAAAGATGGCTAGGTCGTTCCTGAAGGACTCTGACATCAGTGCAGTCTTCTTGCTGAGTTTCTTGAGACCGGTCTTGGTGTGTTTTGTCTGACAAATTTTGGCAGGATCCTTGGAAGTCTCCTTCTTGGGAGGTTTTGGAAGCAGGCTCCTGGAGGTGTTCGCAGATGGCTTCGATTTCAGCTTGGGCTTGATGGCTGAGGAAGAGCTGCAAGGTTTGTCCACCTGGATGTTGCCCCATGGTCGGATGACCTGCTCGTCATGATTGAAGCGGGTCTTGTCAGCCTGGCTTATGCTGTGCTCATCTTGCGTGGGTACCGAATGACTTGTGGCATCCCTTGGTTCTGTATCAAGGGACTTGTACTTGGAAGCATTACACGGTGGCGAATGGACGAAGACATATCTTTCCTTGACTGCACCTGCTTGCTGATTGGGGACTAATGGGATGAAAGGAGAGGCTTGTACCTCAAAGGTTTTGTTGCTGGCTGAATCAGAATTGTCCAGGGTAACATTGTAGGTCATGCGTCTTGATGTGATTGCAGGTCGCTTGTCTGGGCTTTTTATCAAGTGTTTTTTTTGGTGGGTCAAGGGGCTGCTGGCTTGGGTCTTCTCACCCGGGGGCTGTTGGAATGGTGGTTCAGGATGTGGGCTCAAGATGGTTGTGGCGTCCTCACCAGGATCCTTAGTGTGCGTCGCGTTGTCTCCATCGTCAGCCAGGGCCTTCTTGATGGCAATGGGATCTAAGACGGTTGCTGTGCGGGAACGCTTCACTGGTGCTTCCAGGCAATGGGACTGGTGCCTGGAATCACAACTACCAACACCTGAGAAGAATATTGAAATGAAATGAGCAGTTATTCATTCTAACTTAAAGTAATGCAACAGTTTACACTATGCATCTCTGTATCAAATGAGATCCATTGTACATGTAAATGATGACCTAATATGAGATCCAACCGAACAAAAAGAGTTGGTGAATTGGCAGGGTCACTCTCGAGTAACAGACCTTTAAATGGATCTTGCACACTGGAAATCAAAAGGAAACTTCAACACTCTTTACCCATGTAGTGTGTCTCAATCAGTATTAAAGCCAAAATGACTAATGTGTCAAACATGAAACCTCACTTTGCCCTTCCTAAAACAAAACTGAAAGGAAAGTACCGGAACAAGAAGTAAGACTTATTTACATGTACATGTAAAAGCCTGAAGACTCGTTTTGTAGGATTTGGTCATACATACACATCTATTGCAGTTGCTACTGTACCTTGATTGTCAGGAGTTTCTTCCGTGAACATCAGATGGAAGTCAGCATCATCTAGTGATGGGAAGTCCAACTCGAACTCCTCATCAGCCAAATCCTTCATTTCCTTTGATTGGCCAACTCCCTCAAGGACTGGCTCTGACTGGTCGACCGTGTTAACTGTGGATTCGGATTGGCTGACTTTGGTGGGTCCTTCCGACCGGCTGGAACCAGGGGCTGGCTTTGATTGGCTGTTTCTTGAAGGCGACTCTGATTGGTGGATGGTAGCAGTTGCCATGGTCTTGGAGGCATCCATTATATTAGATGCTGCACTCTCAATGGCTTTAGATACAAGCCGAGTTTGTCTGCTATATGTGGAGAGCCTACAATAAATAAAAGTATGAAATGATAAAAATGAAATGATATGTTCAAACAAGTGCCCACCTGTCCTGACTTGATTCACCATTTCCTGGTAAAGAAGATACAGGATAATGGTAATTGTGTCACCTGGGCATCATGCTGAGCACAGGCCGTGCAAAACCGGTTTGCACATGTCACAATATGTCAAAACGCACCATCTCTTGCTCCTGCATGGAGCAGATTGACGCTTACCCTTGACTGGCTTTCTGTGCAATTCCGAAGGAGTCGTCGTCGGACGTCATGGACGCCCGAGGCAGGATCCCCAAGCTGCTGTCTCTGAGGGGCAGGGAGGAGCACAGGTCCAGGGCCTGGCCCAGGGAGCTCACAGCATCTAGCAGACTGTGGGTGACTTTGGTCAGGACTTGCTTGATGTTGCCAAAGCGTTGCTGCCAGGAAATGATATGAGAATTCAATTTAACTCAAATTTCCATTATAAATATATCCGACACCAAGCTACATTGTGTGCATGCTGAGCTTAAGTGATCATGGTGATAAAGTGTACCTGTACATGTATGTAAATGGGAAGGCAAATCTATGAAGCAGACAGAGGCAAAAACTTTTCACACTTTGTTTAATCCTTGACCTCAAATTTAATGTAATTTTATGGTTTATGAATTCGAAAATAGTATCATACGTGTATTGCACATATTGGTTGCAATGTGCTTTGCCAAGTTGCCTTAACCACTTATTGGCAGGTGCTTTTAAGCACTTGCCGCAGGGGACTCCGGTTTCGGGCACCGTGTGTTTATATGCGTGGCCGAGGTCTCCGAAATCGGACAAAGGAACTGGGCCTTGTAATAAAAGACCGTTTTTGGAACAAAAGACCAGGTTGCTGGGCATTACAGACATTTTGTCACTCTCAATAGTAGAGATAATCCAGCCTTGTTTTGAAACAGTATACCACGGTTTGGGGCATTTAGTGCAAGCGGATTACCACTCGGGACAAAAGTGCTCCACCACCGCAGCGATGAGCCACACAGCACTGCTGCTTGCTAATTTGGCCCCCATTGAAAAGAGGTTAGCAGCGCACTGTGCCAGGTTCGTGAAAAGAAACTTACATAACACCACACAATCTGGGCTCTTTTTACAAGGCTGCAGGCCCGGCTGAAATAGTCGGGCATCAATAGATTTTGCCTGTCAGACTAGAATGGCCACCAGACAGACCAGCTCTTTTGTCCTATTTCGGGCACCCCGACTCTACGTATAAACCCATGGTGTTCAAAACGGGGTTCCCTGGCAGCAAGTGGTTAATTGTGGTCTGCACCAGCCCTTGGGTCTGGTTTCAAATGGTCCACTAGGGTTCAGACAATCCATTTTAAGGGGCAACTTTTGTCGAACCATAGTTAATAATAGTTGCCACTCAAACTTACCCTTGTTGGCCAGTTCGAGGGGGTGGATGGGGGTGGGGGATCGATCGCAGTATGGATTAAATGTACTCACCATGCATTCCTTCTCAGCCTGCCTGGTGGAGTTGGCCTGCTGCAGTAGATACTGCCTTTCTCGCTGCAGCTCCAGGACGCTGTGGTGGGCCTGCTGTGCCTCGTGCCTGGAGGCGGCCAGGGCTTTGGCCAGAGACTGGTTGTTGGAGCGTAGGCTGGCCTTAAGGACAAATGACGCCGATGTCCCTGAGGTGTCATGGATAAAAGGGAAGCTTGCTGTTGTTGTGAGGATTACTCTTTTGACAAAATACTGCTCTTATGAGCAAATTATGAAGTCCAAAGTCTCATGAATTTTTATGTTGTTTACCCAAACCTGTTATTACAAAGGAACAATGTTTACATTCATTTGCAAGATTAAACTTGGGACCACCCATACAAAATGCATTAACCTGAAGAAAGCCAAGCTTAAACCAATCAATCATAGCAACTTATATTTTCTTTCAATGTATAACCTTAGCATCTTGGTTAAACGTCTATTTGACTACATTTCCATGATTTGAAATGTCAACAGTCTAATATTTAGAGTGCCCTCCTTTATTTCTGATTACTTAGACTGGCTTTCTTCACCTACTGTATGCTGCCTTACAGACAAAATGTCATAAAAGACCTGCCTTTGCAAAAACTTCATTCAAATGGGTATGTAGCACTAAATTGATACTATGCACCACTTTAAAATCATGTTAAGTACATACAATCATTCAATGAGACAATGTAATGCAGGCCCAGTGACAGAAGTACCAATAAAATTCTAGGTGGTCTTAAACTTTTGCAAATGACTGTAATGATACATGTAGTTGACTGTACTTCACAAGTATTTTCCATTAGTCATCATAAACACTATCACAGCTGAAGTATTTTCCCCACCTGCTAACAGTTGGTGAACCTGCTTAAAGAGGGTGAACAACGACAAAGTTATGACTTGCTCTGAAAACAGGATTTAGTTAGTCCCCGTTGCGGTACCTTTTTTTTTGGAAAACGACCTCGACCAAGAGGTGTTGCCGTCATTCAGAGCTTTCTTTCGTCTCTTCTCCTTCATCTTCTCTTTGATGAGCTCAAAGCTGGTATTGCCCTTGCTTTGTGACATCGTGTCCTTGTCTTTTCTGTAGTTGTCATCCTTGAAAAGAAAAAGAAGATACCAGAGGTAGTTCAGTCGTCCCACAAAATAAACAAGCCATGCTGTAGGGCCAGTTTTTTCAACATGTTGCATATTATGCCAATGCATATGTTTTGTGTAGCAGGCCTCGCAGTAACACCTACATGTAGGACTCCCAATATGACATGCTGGATTCAACTCCCTGTCTGGAAATGATTTAGTGTTTTCCACCAAAAATGACACAATTATCCTTTGATAAAAAAATTTATATCAAATCTTATTATACTACAACATTAAAGTGCAGAATATTTCAAAGTCTTCTTTTTTTATTATATTTGGCTCTAGAGGACTTAAAGTGCAAAGAAAGATCCAAATTGCACCACTTCTGATTTCCATTGGTTCAAATACATGTACATGTACTTTGCATGTCCACATTGACAATGCACATGTACATGTACCGGTAGGCCTACTATACATGTACAGTGTATGTGTTTGATGTTTGCATGGAACCAGATACATGCCCCTAAAAAGTCACTGCAGGTTATCAGTTGCTACGTGTATGCTAGCCACTGGTACAAAAAAGAAAATGTACAGTGTACAATAATGACAGGGACAATTTCCTTGTACAGTAATTGCCCTTGATGCTAAAAATACTGGTATATGTACATACACAATCACTGACAATGCACATGCGTGTAGCAAAAGTCAGAGTTGCAGTGACTCGACTAAGTGGAGAAATGACTTGAGACACTGTAGGAAAATGACTCAACTCGCCGAGAGTCCCTTGACAGAAGACTCAACTCGAGTAAAAGCTACATACATGTGCTCGTACATGTACATGCATGTAGGTACATGTGTAAGACTTGAGTCCCAAAAAATAAACTTAGGCCCCTAAAGTAAAAGGCAAACTTCCCTGAAAAATATTTGCAATTTCATGTACGGTACATGTATGTTCACGCATGTCACGTTACAAATAAGGTTTACACCATACATGTACATGTGTACAAGTACATGTTTACATGTACAGGTATACATGTAATCATGTACAGACCTGAGTCAAGTCGTCCCCCGTTCAAATAATTACATAATAATTGTAATTTTACTGCAGTAATTAATTGTTTTTTGGGGGGGATAATTTATTTATCTTGTTTTTTACTTATCAAGTTTTCACTGGGGTAGATTATTTTTTGGGGGGAGTTTATTAAAAATTTTTTTCAAGTTTTTACTTGGGATATTTTTTATATATTTTTTTGAAGTTATTTATTTTTATTTCATTCAATAATCATATATTAATAATCAATATATCAGACAAGACTGAGTAATTTCTGAAACAGCTAGTTGGTTTGACGACTCAGGCCTGGTTTGCCTACAGCATGTCTACAGTGATGATCCAGTGAGATGAGTGCATTTGGCAAGGAGACTGGACGTGCTCAGCTCACCTGCTTGGTAGCGCTCCCACAGCAGAAAAAGTCTCCCCTACATGAACAAAACCAACTTAAACCTCTTGAAACAACCTGATTTTCCTAGTTATTCAAAATTTCCACATTACTAATTTCAGAAAGTCATTAAAATAAACTGGAAATGACTACTGGCAGATTTGAAATTAAAAGATGTTCAAATTGCTTTGACAATTCAAAGAATAGGCCTATGGATGTACTGTTACATTGGCACACACCAGGAGTTGCCGTTTTAATAAATATCTTGTGTGGCACGTCTTTGCCACCATAGATTTCAAAAGCTAGCTACGTAGAACGAATGAAAATTATGAATGAACGAGTACATATATATGTACAGTACATGTACAACTATGAGTTTCTGTCTTGTTTTCTTTCTCTTCTACGTGTTGATGTACCTAAAAAGAAAAGGAAAATTCATAAATAACACTTGGGGGACGACTTGACCCGGGGACGATTTGACCTGGGGACGACTTGACCCGTTTCCAACCTGGCAGCGGTCTACATGTATATTGTCCTTCATCATCATCCATGGCTGATACTAGGGACGTGCACAAATGAGCCAGGGCACTGTTTATTTGGGAACTCATGTTCTTCAACTTGGCCTAGTGTGTTTTTCCGCAGGCTCTAGCTCCTCTATTTAAGTCCTATTTAATTAAAGTGGCGCGTGGGTGAACACAGTGAATTGGCACATGGGCGAAGTGCTCTGCATCAGGTGCATGTTCAGATCACGGAAGAAGGACACAAACTTCCTCCATGTTCAGATGTTGTGTCCAAACTGTCTGACCGTGGTCACCAGTCTGACTGATAATGCGGACTGTTAATTGGCGAGGCCTTGCTCTAGGGTCAGGATTTCTTTCCATGAATTTTACTGGGACGTCTACGCAGGGTGGTAGAACCCATAAGCAAACTTTAACAACTATGATCTAACCTAACTAAAATGGTATATCTAGGAGAATTTTTGTTTCAAATCTCCACAATTTAGGTCTATCATTATCAGGACTTACTCTCATCGTCGAGGTCGCCATTTTTAAACTTCGTGCCTGTAATTTGTTTTGCCTGTAATTTGTTTTGTCATTGGTTAAATGCAGCTGGTACCCGCTCTTCACTTGCGCACTTGAAGTGAACACGTGCGACGGTTGGTCATCAGCACACATTTACCACTTGACAACACTTGACAATGGAACGCGGAAGCGCATTAAAATACTAAAAGTTGTGCCCGGTTTTAAATTTAATTTTTAATAATTCACCGTCGACATGGCCGATAGCACTGCGAAAGTCGCAAAACTTGTTCAACTGAAATTGTGAGTCGTGTTTTGACAAGCTGTTTTAAGATCAAAATATAGGTCCTACCTGTAAGGCTGTAGTAAAAAACAGAGCTACGCAGGCCTCGGCCTATAATTGTAATTTGTAGTGTACCATGTTGTTGGCCTATTATTAGGCCTAAGTATTTAACTCTGGCAGCCAACGTTAAATTTGCACAGTTTCAACCATGTGACCAAATGACAAGAATTTTGATCAAACTTGTAATTCATTTCCTTTGCAACAATTGTAGAGAGGACTACTTCAATCGACAGAGAGTTGAGAGGGAATTTGATCCATCCGGCAAGGGTATACACACAACAACTCCAACAGTGGTAAGGATGTGATGTCAGCACGGTCAGTGAATGTCAGTGCCAGACCTTAACCATGCTAACTTTAGCAAATGAGGCCAATTTGCTAGCATATAGGCTGCTGTACTTGGTGGGAATTCAATCTGCTCGGAGTGGCTTCAGCTGTATAAAGGAGAGGATATGTTTACATTGCAATAAAAATCGTCCTTTAGCAGTAGCCTGAGTAGGGGTGCCACATCACAACTTGGAGACAGGATTTCTCTTTATTCAGGCCGGGACAAAATCAGTCCCTGAAAAGAGAGAATGTCTCCTAAAGCAGAGACTTTTTTTCTAAGTGGGCTTGGGGAGCCTACTTTTGCCCTGGCGATCCTTTTCTGGAAAGAGTTCCAGGTGTACAAATCCACTGAGACTGGTTTAAAAAATTCTAAGTGTTTTCTCAGTAAACGACTTGATATTTTCCTTCTAAATTGAACTTTTCTGGACATGGTTTTGCTTTCTGATGGCAAATAGATCACTGGAGTGAATAAGTACTGGCATCCCATTGAACTCTTGCCCATTTTCTTATGCCATACATGTAATTGGACTCTGAGGAAGAAAACTCCTCTAGGCTGTTGTTAAAAAAAATTCCTTTTTACTTCTGGGATTACTGGAGTCTGCAATGGGACATAAAAAAAGGTAAAAAGACCATGTATTTTTCTGAATGTCAATCCTTCGCATGTACATGTAAATCTAGTGAAATTATACAAAGTTCAGAAAACAACTTCAAAAACTTTTTTGGGAA